CGTGTGCCACGCCAGCGAGGCGGCGTGTGTCGGCGCGTCGGCCTGCGTCGATCTGAATACCTGCGTTTCTTCCGTCTTGTCTTCATTCATCTTGAGGTCCCGGCGGGCGAAGACGGCTGGCGCCGCCATTTTGATCCTGGTCATGACCGCGTCGTCGTCACAGATGAAGTCCGAGTCATCGGCGTAGGCGACCGTGTTGGCGAGGAGGTCGTCGGTTGCGCTGAGCGTCTGCGCGAGGTCTATGAGCGCGGCGTCGAGGTACACGATGAACAGCGCCGGCGACAGCGAGTCACCTTGTGGCGTGCCAATGTTGGTCGCGAACGGAGTGTGCAACTTGCCATCAAGTCGCAGTCGGAGCGTCGCGGTCGTGAGCAGCATGCGAACCAGGCGTACTTCATCGTCGTCGAGGAAGCCTTGGAGCACGGTGAGGAGCTTCGCGCGGTCGATCGTGTCGAACGCGCGTGAGAAGTCAATACCTAGGATAGAGAAGTGCTCTTCATACTGGCGGATCGCACGAGCATGCGCTTTCTCACCAAGTCCATATCGTTTGGTCGCCGGCGCGGCATCACGCCTGCGGGCATTTCGACCTCTCGACATAGCATATCGTTCGCCGCCCAACAAGTGACAGGATTAGTTTGGAGGCCGTATGAAAAGTCGTGTTTGAATAGCAAACACAGTACGAGGTCAGCCGAGGGTCACTTGGTAGCGCTGAGGATGGCTTATTGGGTCGCTCAACAGGTCAGGCTCAGACGGAAGACTTGTCCAAAGACCAAAGCAGTCTATTTACGTATCAAGTCCAATCTGGCTCCTAGCTCGATATGCAGCACAACGCCTCTGGTTTGGAAGTTGCTCTTGATGCTGCGGATCATATCTGTTCGTGCCGCGGCCGGCATGAACTACCATTTCGTGGCGTTGGCATGCCCCGTCCGCCCCTTAGCATCAATCCGCGTGCGGACCTTGGGTGCCCGAACTGCTGAGCGGCCATAATGCTGCGCTACAAGGACCGTCACGCCGGCAAGGAATAGCGCAGTCGCCCTGTCGCTGGGAAACGAGCTCACCAAGTACCGATCATGGTCAAAGCCGAGGCTCTACATTGTGTGCTTGAGCACCGTCAAGACCATGCGCGGGTAACGCGAAGCGGCGGAGATGGTCGGCCGGCGCCAATTGTGCCGTTTCCAAGCAGTGGAAGAGGTTTTCCGCACAAGTCCGAGCGATCCAGAATATCAAGATCCAAAACGAAAACGCAAGATCCACCCTCCCACCCTCCCACCCTCCCAAGATCCAAGATCCAAGATCCAGGCGCAGAGCAAGCGAGCTCAAGCCATTTCCAAATTGGTAGTCAAGTAGCTAACCCGCCTCGCCCACCACTGGCACGGCGGACACCAACACGGTTGTTGCCCCCAAGTAGTTCGGTCTTGATTGAGGAACTCGCGCTTGCTGTTGGGCATGAGGAAGCACGCAGCGCGGTCCGGGCAGAGTCGCGCCTGCGACGACGAACGCGGCCTGCGCTGTCCATGCGCGCTGTCGATGAGCGCTTTACTGCTTCTAAGCAAGAGCCATCATCGTCGTTGTCATCCGGTCTCTGTAATATGAATGCGACTAGGGTGAGCCCAGTGGCCCTACGGCCACTCTTTTAGCGTATAGGAGTTGGTGGATACGATGGTTGTAGGCATATATTAATGAAGATGTAGTGCTCATCGCTGTGTGGTCTGTCGCGTCGAGAACCTCGTGAGCTGCTAGTGCGAAAACAGGTTCCGGAAGGTAACCAAACACCAACGCAAGGGACCGTCTGACCTTGGGACTTGTAAATAGTCATCGCAAATGCGAGACAAACAGGGAACTTAGACACTTGAGCTGGAATGGCAGCGTGTTGTGCGGACCGTTGTTGATAAGCGTGATGCGAGGTATGAAGACAACGTCGCCAGCATGCGCACCGGTCAATATAGTAGCCTCAATGCATCGACCTCGCAAAGCGCGAACCATGAGTCGAGTTCCATTGCATAAGCCTCGTCTTGAGCACAGGTTGCACAAGAGCACGACAGTGGCGTTGATCTTGAGCTGGAGACGGTGCGGTGGGAAGCCGGCGATGTTGATGGAGTTGATAAACTCTACTGGAAAGTTGATAGCAGCTCCTTCTTGCAGAAGATCGGAGTCGTCGTTCTGTAGTTCCTTGTGGCTCGATGTCTCGTGCCGGAGCTACTTTAATCGCTACCTCGCCTGCACGCTGGATGGCAACGTTGATGCCTTCTGTCGATCGAGGCGAAC